CCAGCAAGCTGGCTGGGGAATTCTGGGAGTTGGAGTCCACCCATCTGAAAGCTGCCAAGGTTGAGAAACACTGGCCTCGAGGGTGGAGGCCAGATATCTAAGAATACCTTTCCTATATCCTTGGATTGTGAAGCAACCTGGTGACCAGGGTCTATGGAGATGCCGTAGCTGATAGTCACATAGCACAAGACCTGCCTAGTAATGTGATAGCCAACCCATGATCTCTGACAAACAGACGCAGCCCACCCCAAATATACCTTCCTAAAACGAAACTTGCTCCCTACCGCTTGTTTGGTAGGAAAATTTCACCTCCTCCTTTGCTCCTCTTCCAAGGTCCCCTGTGCCAGCCCCACCAGTACACCAGACCTGTCAAGGTCATCTTCCTTCATCACGACACCTCTTTTCTTGCATGGATTTTGGTACACGTCGGCCTTGTTACAATACAGATTATCTTCCAACAGCAACTAAAGAGGGCAATTTTGGCACCTATCAGGACCACAAGCCATTTTTCACACCTTCAGCGGCAACCCTTTCTTTCCCCATCAGGTTATGGTCAGTATTTGCGCTACTTCGCCCCGTGTTTTTCTTGCTAAGTGTGGTAAGTGATATTGCTCACTGCCCTGTGGCCTTCGCTGTGGAATCAGAATACCTTGAGAAATAACCCAATATCAGAAAATAGCTCCTTTCACAATCATGCAAGGGCACCCCATTTCTCTGGCCAATAAGCAGAGGTGCAGTGCTAGAAGCACATTGTAGCAGCTGGGATGCTTATGAGGGGAAAGGGGCTTCTGTTGCTAGGGTGATGTGGCCAGTTTTAAAATAGCTGCAGTCTAGGAAGGACAAGGGAGAGATGAAGAAGCACATTGGAGTCCTCAGATTTCTTGTTAGAAACTCAGCAATAAAGAACCCCTGAAGCCCAAATCCACCAGAATGTTCATAACTTTTATTCATGATGGAATCAGCTATCATCTTCTTCTCGGTAATTCAGTTTTGGCCTCTCCTGGAAAAAGCCAGTTCTGGGATGGGTCACAGAGCAGAAAACAGAGACTTTGGGTTTGGTTACCTGAACAGGCCAGGCAGGAAGAGGCTGTAAGAAGTCGGCTGGATATGGGTAGTCCACCATTGCTGAGTTTATCCATGTCTCTCTCAGCCACGCTTTGAAGATGGTGACATCCGTCACAGTTTTCAAGGGACTGCACAAGTGAAATGTGCAGGAAAGCCACCGTAAGCCTTTCTCTAAAGAGAAAGAATTCAAGAAATTACTGTTTAATATATACAGCAGGGTTCCTCAACCTTAGCAACTTTAAGATGGGTGGACCAACTCCCAGAATGGCTGGCTGGGGAATTCTGGGAGTTGAAG